AAGGATCGAACGCAACTGTTTTAAAACGAGCGCACCTTTTTTTAACAACCAAAAAGTGGCTGTTTCGTTGTCTGTTGAGGAAGTACAGACGTTCCTCTCGTTGATAGCAGAGGAGCGGATCCAGCGAGAGCTTGAAGGGGCGACGCGGAATGAAAACGTTTTTCAGGAGTCGCTGCAGTAGAGGCGGTGCAACTATAACGACATGTGAATAATCCTGCCCACTCTAAAGCGATACTAAACTGCAGTGGAAACGCAAACCGAGCCGAGCCGTGCTGTACTGAGCCGTGCCGAGCAGAGTCGTACCACGCAGTGGAAAAGCGCCATTAGTACAATGTTCTTTGAAACCTTTATGCTTCTCATACAGGTGAGATCTGAATGGATGTTTCACAGGACTGTCTAAACAGCCTTTATGAGATGGAACCTATAGGATTAGCAGTTAGCAATAAAAAGCCCATTTGGATTTCTAATGGCTCATTGATCGGGTGAAACTCTCCTCAGAACAGCATGTATGTGGGTAATGAGAAACTAATGTTGTTACTGTTTACTTCTCACTGTCTTGAAGGAGCACAGTCAGTGCTGGTGGCCCTAGTGGGTCACACCAGACTGTAATTTGTTAAATTCAGACAGCACTGCATTGACAATTACCAACCATAAAATCACAACTGTGAAGACCTGCAGTGTGAATGTCCTAGTACAGAGCAAAAGACGTGTTAATGGAATCGACCAGAAGTTAATATTTAAATGATACACTGCAAATGAAACTGTCACAAACACTCACAAAACTTCACAAGGCTCAATAGCAGAAGGCGAAAATCAGACTGAATGGCTTGTCTGAGGTACGATGATGGATTTGTCACTTCTGAGAGCAATTACAAAATCCCATAACATATGGACATATACATACATAGTGACCATTAATGGCCGAGGGTTAGGAGCTCCACAGAGGCACTAATGGAAGCAGTGAATGGAGAGCTGATAACGGACTGTATTTCATACTGAATGACTGACTCATTCAGTTCACTCTTGGCCTCCAATAAAACGCCCACTCTTCTATCGGTCTCTCTACTTGCTCCATACATCCAGTTATCTGCAGTAATATAACAAATGCTTTACTGTTCTCTGCGTTCACTTACAAACAAGTACTGAGGTCCTAGTGCTTCAACACTAACTGGCAGTTACTGAAACCACGCCTTCTTTCTTTGCGTGTACATTTGGGTGGCATTATGAAAATATTTCCACATAGTGAGGTAAATATGTGGGGGCGTGTTAGAACGAGCCGTTTTAGGGGGGCGTGGCAGAGTCTTAACTTTGATAAAGAATATCTCTTTGGTTTTGAGACTTTAGTCTTTGCAACTTCAGGGATCTTATCTATGCACAATCAGCTTGTAACACTCCAAAGAGAAAGGAAAACTTGAAATCGCATCATATGACCCCTTTAATGGATATTGGAGTATCATATATGATATCATCATAATATGGTATTCATTTAGTGCCATGATATATGCACCAAAAAAAATAGGTTCTTCAGCGGTTCTTTGGGGTGGTTGAGGTGCTATATAGCAACGCTACTGTTATAAAGAACCTGTTAAGTCCAGTATGGTTCTTCAACGGTTCTTCGGGGTGGTTAAGGTGCTATACCACTGCTGCCATACAAAGAACCTGTTAAGCCCCTGTATAATTGTTTAAAAGTTCTCTAACTCTCTAAAAGAGAGGGGTTAAAAAAGCAACATTAAATTACAGTATATTTCCTGAAGTTAACATGGTTCTCAACCTTTTTGCCCCCAAGGCCGCCCTATAAGGAAATATTCCAGGGCCCCCACACAAGACTTTTTGACCTCAGAAAAGCATAAAAGTGATTCAAAACAGCTTTTGCCATTGTAGTAAATTCCAATTTTTAGCAAACATATGAGAGTGGAGGAACATATCTAAAATCTAAGGAGGAGAACGAGGTTCCTCTTATGGTTCTACATAGCACCATTTGAAAAAGATGCTGTATAGCACCTTTAAATATTTGCTATATAGCACTTAAAGTGGTTCCCCTATGATTATGAACCAATGAACCACTTTTAGTGCTATTTAGCACAATTTTTTTGAGTGTAAGTCAAAATACCATGGTATTGCCATCTGATACCATCATATTATCAGACATTCATATCAGAAATTGTGCATTTATATTTTCTTCCATGGATAAATTAAAAGATAAACATTTAAAATCAATAATTAACAATTTTATCAATTTATATGTTATGTTTAAAATGTATAATAAAAATATCATAAAAATGTTCTCTTGCATGCTAAACAAAAACTGTACCATTAATTTAACAGACTTTTCACTTAAATTCTAATTATTAAGTTGACCTCATGAACTCCATTAATTAGCTATTTTTTCCTCTCATTTTTAATTTTCTGGGGGTTTCAGCATTGTTAACAAAGATCTCACAGTTTTCTGAAAATATTGAATCTTTATTTAGCACATGTGTGAATCATATCCGAGAGCAGACGAATCTTGCACTTGTGGGAGTGAGAAAATGAGGTGCTTTTTTCCTCATATTTTTTATGCTGAGAGACAGCAGGTGATATGCGATTATATTCAGTGTTGGGGGTAACTCATTACAAGTAATGCGAGTTACGTAATCAGATTACTTTTTTCAAGTAACTAGTAAAGTAACGCATTACTTTTTTAATTTACAAGAAAATATCTGAGTTACTTTTTCAAAAAAGTAATGCCAGTTACTTTGTTTTCCCATTTATTGACTAACAGCTCTCCTGTCCCCATATTGGGAGAAATCGGGAGTACAGAGGCGTTGTGTGCGCTGTGTGAACATGATGTTACTGTAGTTCTAGACTAAATGTGAATGTGCATTAATTCATCCCACTCACAAAAAACAGATTTAGTATTCATCAAAATGAATTAAAACAGTGAAATGCAAACTCAGAATATGACGCAAACCTGCAATAATTAAATATGTTAAATAACACAAATGTATCTAATCCCATTTTATTAACCAATATCTTTGCTGCTGACCTTTGATGATCCAGTACAACCATACTAATAAGCAAAAATGACTTTAGATAAACTAACAATTGTGCTTCATTGTTTTTTTATTGCTGAAGAGTGTTTCTTCTCCTGCGTTCTACTGTACAGACGTGAATTTACTTTTCCTTCAGCCTGAGGTTTATTCTTTAGACTTTTTGGTGTGAAAGGGCTTTTATATTTGCTATAAATAGAACTTTTAAATTAAAAACAATCAAGCCCTGCTTATATTTAAAAAGTAACGCAAAAGTAATATAACGCATTACTTTCCATAAAAAGTAACTAAGTAACGTAATTAGTTACTTTTTTAGGGAGTAACGCAATATTGTAATGCATTACTTTTAAAAGTAACTTTCCCCAACACTGATTATATTATATTATATTATAAACACAGCAAGTATTTGTTACACCCACTCAAGCTAAAAATCGCCATGAACAAGTTAAAAAATCAATAAATAAGGAAGTCATGCACATGATTTGTTTTTCCTCAATAGAATATATATTAAACAGCACAAATGTTTTATTATTTATGACACTTAGACCCCATTGATTTTCATTGCACAGACATCGATCCTTTCAAGGGCATGGGTTTGGTCAAATCACTAATCTTAAGTACTACAAACCAATAATAATAATAATAATAATAATAATGGTGCTTACTTAACCATAGCGCAAATACGCACTCTACACTGCACTTGAAACTCAAGGACTAGCCATTTAAAAAACAAGTGAACAGTATGTAGTGTACTATGTCAACTGCGAATCCTAATAGTGCACGTGTGGAGGACAGTGTAATAAAATAGCAAACAAGCTTTGTTTAGCTAGCCATAATAGCCTTGAACTCCCCTCCATTCGATACAGGAACTATTCGAGCCGTTCATGCCAGACTGGGGAGAGAGGTGTTGTAATAATGTAAAATATGTGAAAAATAATGTGTTTTTCGAACAACCTAGTATGAGAGCCTGTTCTAGTACACCCCCAAAACAAAATCAAGACTTTGTAAAAGAGCATAATAGGACCCCTTTAAAACAATTAACATGTTTTAAAGTATAAGGTGTTCACCTGGTGGTGTGGTTTTTATTTAGCGTGCAAGGAAACCCAGGTACCAACGTAAAATATCTTTACTATTTACTATGCAATGATTTATGTTTGTAATCCTTATCTTCATAACATATAACAAGCCTGTGGTGTAGAACATGATTGGTAGCTACAAATGAGAGGATGCTATAATTAAAAGTGCCTCTTTAGAGTTAAGTGTGAGCAGCTGACTTGGCTGAGGACAGGGAACATCTGTTTGATCTAAACCACAAGACGCAGTCTGCGAATGACATCAATGATGGACTGATGGCTCAGAAAGCTGAAAGAGAGAGAAAAATGAATAGCCTACAGTGGGTTCCATGGCATATTTGACTGCCATTTTAATATTAAAAACCTATTGATTTCAAAACTGGAGTTTAGTACATGTCTGTTAGCTTTCAGGCAAATTTATGTGCTAGAGTAATAATAACTATATACTGAGGACACACCACCGTCCACCAACTAGCAAAATATGGGTGTTTTTTTGGGGCTGCAAAAGGACTATAAAAGCTATTTGCCATTTAAACAAAGGATAAGCCCTTCGAAATCATGTTTCAAATGGAAAAATGTCTCAACAGGAAAGAAATTAGCATCGTTAAACCATTTCATGGGGTCTTTAAAAAGAGCAAAAAAGGGTCTTAGAACACATTTTTCATATTAAACTCAAATATAAGCCTAGTTCATGGCCCAGGTGTTTCATGTATTGAGTTTAACTCTAACAATTGCATTTATAAGTGTCTAATCAGCCTTATTCAAATGGTAAATTATAGTTTTAGATTGAATTTTCAATAGACTATACCAAATGCAACATCAAATGTCATTTAAATTCAAGAGCACAGAAACGGGTAGATGAAAGACATTATCGTATGAAAGGCGTCACGCTCGTCACCTCACAAAAACTCAATCTGTAATCACCGTAATTGGCTGGTTGGTGGGTTTCCTCAGAAGTTCATCCTGAAGACCAATCTCTCAGAAATCGACTGCTGTCCCTTGAGGGAAGTGTGAAGGTTTGATGCCATCAAACCCTCTGCATGGTTCATGTAGGCTCCACAGGGAGCAGATGTTATTGCTGCTAGTTGCTGTTTGGACAGTGGGGTGCTTACCTGGAAAACCAATGAAGAGATACAGAGAAATCAGCGACAGTAATGATGAGACCCTTTGGGACCCAGATGTGCCTGTTCCAGCACTAACTATGTTTAACTATCGTGTACTGTGGGGAAAGCCAGTGAGAACAGGGAAGATAAATAGAGAAAGACGTAGGTGTGGGTTCATACTGACACAAACAGCAAAAATGAAATGAGCTCCAGGAAAAGTGTGTCACCTTTGTTCATTGTGTGAGAATGTGTGCATGCATGTGTACCTGACAGAATGACATTATTTAGGAAAATTACATTGAAATTGAACTAGCAGCAACAGGAAACAAAGTATGCTATATGGCAAAAACATTGAGAAATGTAACATGTATAACATGAAAAGTTTTCTTGCCATAATATGAAAAAAATCTATATTGTGAGAAGGAAGCAGACTCACTAAGTCACACATACATGAACATAAAAATCATAAGATTAATAAATAAAGTAATCAAAATGTGTTAAGTCAATCATTAAATATGTCATTAAATAAATACAAAATAACATGGAAATATATTATTTCATTGAATTCTTTCATTGTTAATTTATATAAATTTTTTATTCATTTATTTATTTTTAATTGTGATTTATTTGTTTGCCGAAAGATATATTGATACATTATCATTCAAAAGTATGGCCTCAGTAAGATTTTTTTAAAAGAAATTAATACAGTGTATTAAGCAGGGATGCATTAAAAATTTATCAAAAGTGATAATCAAAACTTTTACATTGTTACCAAAAATGTCAAATAAATGTGGTTCTTTTGAACTTTCTATTTATCAAAGACTCTTGAAAAACAATTGTTTAGCTAGCCATAATAGCCTTGAACTCCAACATGCAGCATGAATCAGTCCTCAGCTAGTCACGTATCAGAAATCCAGCATTAGAGATTAGCACTTAGTGGTTAAAAATACCCGTGCTCCATTAACACGCATGCTTTAATCCTCTTCGACTTGATCTCTGCGGCGTACTGATGAGCACATGGGGTCTGCTAATTTCAACTCAAAGTCACTTTCAAAACGTATGGCTCAAACTAATTATGATACTTAAAAAATGCATCAGCACACACTGGATGGAGTTTGTCGTCTCTTAATTGTGGTTGATGGCTTGGCCAAAGTCTTTAGTGGATTGATTAGCTTGTGTATCTGGAGTTAATGTCATTAGCGCAGCCGTAGGAAAACTGGCTCTCGCTTGCCGCTTCGCTTAGCGACTATTAGCTAATCTTGACTAAGACTGTGTGCCCATGCTGACCACATTTCTCATTCTAAATTGATGATTGAAAGCACACGCAGACGTTGCTATTTGCTAACATCAACCAGTTCTGTGAAGATCTGCACTGCTTTTAGCTTTGACTGACCTGCTCCAGTGAAAGGTTGGCATGGCATTACCTTTGTTTATCTGTTGCTAGTGTATCATGATCACCGATTAGCCTTCTTTAGTTTCCATGTCATTAAAGAGTCTTAACGTCATTCTGCTTTTTAAAATAGGTTGTAAACTGCATTAATAATGAAGATTATCTTTTATCTTTTAATTGCACACACTAGGGTGTGGTTGCTAGGACATTATGCTGTACTAAGCAAGCGGCAACCTTCCAGTCTCTCTCGTGAAACCAACACGGAAGTGACTTCAACTGTAATTCGTCAACTGGCCGCTAGAGGCTGGCTGCAAAAGGGAGTCAATCCCATAGACTCCCCATGTTAAAATGCCCAACTTTACAGCAGAAAAAAACATGTTTACATCCTGGTTCAAAAAATTATTTTGGTCTATATAGCTAATTTTGCCCTTCATGACAACTGTGAGGGGGTGAATTTTTTTATAACTCATCTGTTTAAATTATATTAAGCCTTAAAGTTCTGCATAATTAAGGGCGTGGCCACTTGAGTGGCAGGTGGATTGCCGCTGCTGTCACCGGCGTCGAGCTAGGTGGGCGTGGTTTCAGCAACCAGTTCCCGCCTCTTTGCCCATTTTTGATTATCCGGGAGTGACGCGCTGCCAAGATGGCGATGGCCGGCTCCGCCCACTTTGAGCTTCAAAAACACTCTTTAGAAACCTACGGGTGATGTCACGGACACTACGTCCATGTTTTTTTTACAGTCTATGGTACTAAGGCACAAATTCATTCTATCTATCTATCTATCTATCTATCATAATTTATTTGCCACTCTATCCCTTCAAACTGTCAAACTTTACATTTTTTTTTTTTTTTTAAGACAAAGCTTTGTCAAGCCAACATGAAGTTTTTCTTTCAAACTTCTCAATAGTTATCATTGAAACTTATCAAGTAGGCTACGGCATATCATCATAACATTTTTGCATAAACATTAATGAGAAGACCATCAGGGTTAGGTTGTCATATTATTTAATTACGCGTCAACCAAATAAATCGCCAAACTCAACACTATAGTTTTATTTCCCTAAAAGCAACTAAATGTATTTAAAAAATAGATTAATAAGTGAAATATTTACATCAAATTATTATTGATACCAAGGTACCAGAGGTCGGTATTGTAAACTATGTATGAATTGAGCCTGGGCGCACACTAGTGATGGAAGAAACAAACCTTTTCGAAGTTTCAAATCAATTGAACCAATTATTTCGCAAAATGATTCACCGTTTCGAAGTGCTCAACACCACACGCATGCATAAAAACAGCTTTTCCAAACCCACTGCAAATGTTTTCTTGAAAGTATAATACATTAACTACTACTCATCCTTTTAATTACACAAAAGTCTCATTAAAAATGTCTACAAATTGATAAAACTGATCCGAGATTAGGTCAAATCCTTAAACGCTGGTTCAATGGTTTGCCGCTGGGAGGCGATCTCAATGAATTTGCATGATTCATGAGTTCACAGAGATCGCTCCCAACGGCAAACCATATAAATTTCGAAACGTTTTGAAACGGTTATGACGTAACGAAGCCTCATTTACTGAAGTCACGTGGCTTTAGCAGTTTGATACGCACTCTGAACCACTGTTTCGATTCAAATGATTCACAAAGGTTTCGAAGCGTCACAAAGCTGCACACTACTAGCAAGACAGTAGCTATGGTGTGCACCTAGTCTGCAACAAAAAGTCGCAGATGCTACAATAAGTCTTAAAACCTCATTTTAAAAATCTGGCTGACCAAGTCTCCAAGTGTGTTCCCTATCTAACGAGAAAAGCAATGAGCAATAGCCACTGAAACTGTGAGACTAAACAGCGCAAATGGAGGGCGAGGCAGTGGGAAGTGAAGTCAATTAGGAAAAAATACCCAACAAGCCATCAAAGTGTCAGCTCACTGCTGCCCACGTCTCTCCAAACCATTTTTCAGCTCTTTCCCCCACAAAAACTACCGCAGACACATCCTTGTTGTTTGTTGACATTGTCAGGAATTCATTCTTGTATAGCTGGGTTGAGTTGGTGTAAGAACTGAATTTTTGGGATTGTACTGTAACTACAATCTTAGAGGATAATAGTCTTGCAGCTGATAGTTGAGTAAAGTGTGAGACGACATGACAGAAAACTAATTATGAAGCTGTAAATGTGCGTAGGACAAGCTTATTTTATAATGTCTGCAAATGGGAATTATCATTAGCTGAGAGAAAATAGATTTTTTCCATCCTGCCATAATCAATAAAAAAAACAATAACACATCAAGCCTAAACAAGCAATGGCCAAATTTATTTCCTTTGTAAACAGAAGTTTAAAAATACCAGCAACGGCTGCCAGAAATCTCAGAGGATGTGTCCTCAAACCGGCGCAGAGACTTGGACATCAGCTTTGGAATAAATAGCTAAAAGCGATGCATTATGCAGTCTGTCACTATCTAGGGTTATCACAGTTAAGTGGAGGTTAGGATGAAATTAATTTGATTTTCATTTTGAGCTCTTCAATTTGGGCTTCCTGTTAATTCTGCTTTCCTGAGCGCTGGAGCTACATTTATCGCCAACTTTCCTGCTTCACCTTTCTGTGGTTCTTTCTTCAAACATGAGCTTGTTTAATTACGCATGATGTGTGTTTAATTAGGACTGGGAAAGAAAGAGACTTTAGAGTCTCTAAAGAATGAAGGTGAAAAGACTGACAGCGAAATCTGGCTGAGCACTTAAAATGCGAACCCATAAACACATTTGTGCACCTGCAGCAGAGAACAAATACAAGAACACAATGATCTCTGACTGCACTGTTCTTTCTGAAAGCTTTGTTTTCTGTAAAAAAAAAAAAAAAGAAACTCAGAGAAAATGTGCAAGGCAACAGAAGATTACAGACCAAAGCATGGAAACAAGCAAACATGGAGGAAAGAATTGTAGTACCTTCTCCAATAACAAATGTGAACATCCTATGCAGCAAATTCAGCATCATTATTTGATTCGAAAAATTTTTTTTTTTTTTAGTTTTTTGACCTGATCCCATGGCCATTATCATAGATTTACTATATTTTATTTCTGAAAATAAAATGCATAACCTTAGACTTGTTTATATTAACATTAACATTAGATTTTAAAGTAAAACAACGGCAAATTATTTTCATTCATTAACACTAAGTATATATATAGACATGATATTTTAAACATATTTTGGATTTTTCATTTAAATGTGAATATGATAACATTATTAAGCTATAACAAGCTTCATTATATTATATTTTAGTTTCAAATTTCTAAATAGTTTTCTAGCTATTAATATTGAAATAGTATTTGATTTATGTTTTATGAATTATTACATTTTCGCCACTCTAGGTGATTCTTCTATATGGTATTTAAAATAAATGCTGCTTTTTGAGCATTTATTAATCATAGAATCCTGAAAAAAATGCGTTATGTATCCACAAAAAAATATTAAGCAGCACAACTGTTTCAACATAAGAAATGTTTATAAGATGTTTTAAATGTTAATAAGAAATGTTTCTTGAGCACCAAATTGGCATTTTAGAATGATAAAGGATTAATTTATTATTAAAACTTTTGAACAGTAGTGCAGTTAAAATATGAC